ATATATATATATATATAAGTAGTTACTATTACTATAAGCTTCGCTATACACAGTGCCGTTACTAGAGCTGGGACAACAGAAGTGAAGTGTACACAACAATAGTCATCATAATTACTAAATATTGGCTTCATTTACGGTTCAGCACATATATAGTAACTAGAAATTTTGTTTTCACTGAACATTCACTAGACTTTAGAATCTAGGATGTCGGTGCACAGAAAAGTAGCTATATTTACTAAATTTTGGCTTCACTGCATAGTAACTTGAACTAATGCATTTGCTACACAGTTACTAAAACTTTAGATCAGGATGTAGGCACATAGAATAGTAGAATAAAGCAGTGGCCCTAGGGGGTGGTTATTTAAACTTTCTATTTACGCAGTTATAGTGTAGTTTACCCGTAGCTATTTTAAAAAAGTAGTGTGGTTTTATTACGTCACCACCCCTGAAATCTCCACAACAAAAAGGCTGGTCAAGCAGCGGTGAAAACCATCGTTAGTTCTCCGGATGCTGGAGAATTAAGAACAAATTTTCTTGTTGGATCTCCGGCGTCGGAGAAACAAGTGTACGTTTTCACAGGCTTTCATTTTTAAGGGGCGCGATCGCGCTTGCGCTCCACCGCGCACCCGAAATTGTGCGATGCGTGCATCATCGCGCCTCATAAAAGTGGTTGGAATCGCGCACGAAAAGTATGTGTATTAAAAAAAAAATTATTATGTTGAAATAGCGCTCCATAGAGTTGTCAATGTAGTAGGGGGTACAAAAAGGTTAGCAACACACAACAATTTGTGGTGTGTAAGTAACTGAACGTATGGCAGAGGTACAGGTTACTACCCTCTGGTTTATACTGTAGCTAGACAACAGCATCCAAATACAGGTACCTAAACGGTAGCCACAAGTTACCTGCTCGTTTTCCACTATACGTGGCGAGAAGTGATTTTCTGCCGACGTGAAACAGTCGTAGGGCTGGAGGGGCTACATACGTGGCTAGTACGTACAAGTAATTTGGCTAGTTTGTTGATGGATTGTGATGATATTTCATGCTGAAATATGCAGGTACATGGATTAGAGTCTCTAAGAATGAAGATCAGAATAAATAAAACAAGTTTCTTTTTACATCCGATCAACTCTTTTATTAATCTGTGTGCTAGTGTTGGGTTGTTGGATGAAAATAATGTAATCATGACGAAGCCATTGAATGAATGAAGGTGAAGATGAATGATAATCAGCAGATTGACATGACATCCCAATTTTCGTTTTGGATTTCACTCTAGACTGAGGATTAGTCATGATTCCATCATCACACCCCAAGAGGCATGAAGGAGAGCCCTCAAGGAGCTCTCCATCATCCCTTTTAAGGGTGTGATTTTTAGTGGAGCTCTCCATCATGCCTCTTAAGGGTGTGATTTTTTAGTGGAGCTCTCCATCATGCCTCTTAAGGGTGTGATTATGGAGCGTGAAAAGTCCCCCTATGGTGTCCTAGGGAAGTCATTAGTAGTCCTCCTGTACTTTTCAAATCTGAAAGCCTGTTTTCAGCACTGCTTCTCCGGTTTTGCCGTAGAAGCAGTGCTGAAAATTATAGTTAAATTCTCCGGCAGACCAAAGTGTCCCGCCGCCGCTGTATTCCGCCTGTGGGCCGCCGACGCCGCCGCCCCGCCGCCGCAACCCTAACCCTAAAGCCCCGTCTCCACACACGCGGCGTGACGCGGAACGCCACGGAAACGGCGTCGTTCACCCCTACCGGCAAAGTTCAAATCTATTATATCTTATGGCGCAGTCTCCACTGACACGGCACGGCGCCAGCCGGGTTTTACGGCGACGGCGAAAGTCAAATGAGTTTGACTTTTGCCGGCTGACGTGACGGCGAAAAGACAATTGAACCAATCAACGCGATTGTTTTTTATCACGTGTTCTGCTCACGCTACCATCAGCCAATGGACAACAAGCACATGCATAATTTCTGGCGTTTGCGCCAGAATGCCAGTTTTCTCACCTCTTTCTTGTGGGTTTTAAGCAAACGCGCAGTGAAATGGGAGCAACTAGAGTTTATTTTGTCATAAGGTAGTGTGATTATGCATGACACGAAGTATTTGCTAGTCTAGTACTGGAGAAATTAGCGTTTGGATGCGCATTGTGAGCCTTTAACCCTTGCTTCTGGTTTGGACGTTATATGGTTTGGTTATGGTTTGTGCAGCGGCATAGTCTGCTTTTTGCCGGAGAAGCTAGTTTGATTTCTTGCGCATCAAGAGCTCATAATAGAGATGTATTATAATATGTACTCTGGATGCGCATAGCATCACTACACATAGTAAACTAGAGACGACAGACGCACACGTAGCAACATATATATAGAACGCTGCAAACGCGTTTCTGAACAGAAACTTAGCTGCACAATACGTAAGCAATTTTGATGGAGAAAAAAACAGGCAGTACGTATCTCACACATCTAAACACACCCTAGCTCTAGTACTACTACTAGTAGTAGCTAGTACTCCAGCCCTTCCCTGCGGAGGAGCGAAGTACTAGAGTTAAACACACCCCTACGTCTCCCAATTATAGCTCAGAATCTGGAGGGGGGCGTCGATAACTAGGTTAATAGGTCGATAATAGCCGTTGTACAAAATCGTTACATGGTTAATGAGCGCAGTATATAGTACAGCTTCCAAACAACACTGGCACTCATAACTCTTACCAGCTGTGTACTCGAAGCCATTTGCGCTGGTCTTTCCATTCTCCATCTCCTGCTCCGTTTCGTCGCATATTCTCAATTCGAGTTTCTGATCAGCCATGGCGATTAAGTAATTAATTAATCACCAGCTACTCACCCGCACAGCGTACCAACGTATATATAATATATATGTATATATCTGCGCACGACCCTACAACAACATATCGACACACAGTGCAAGCAACGCTCTGCCGGAATGGTGGCATCGACTATTCATGCGTGGAGGCAAGCACGCAAGCGGTGCAACTCGGCTTACGCATCAACCTACGTCACACAGCCTGCCGACGTCACAACGAGGCACGTGCGGCTGAGCGATGGCGGTGTCACATGAAATCATCGCTCCCGTTAGTCATCACATTAGGCAATCCACGCTTCAAACACCACGACAGATGGCGCTCTCGCTCTGGCTCAATTCTACTGTATCCTCAATTCTCAGTATTCCTCAATTCTCGGTATTCGTCAATTCTCGGTATTCTCAATTCTCGGTATTCCTCAATCCTCGTATTCCTCAATTCTCAGTATATCCTGGTATTCCTCAATTCTCAGTATATCCTGAGTGTGGGAAGGGGGCGCTGCATGCAGTTTGTCCACGCTTAGCACGTGGTGGACGTAGTGCAGCGTAACTAGAGGCGATGACATTATATCCTGGTGTGGTAACACCATTCGTTTTCTCGCACGTGAACAAAATGAGTTCCAAGTTTTTAATCACCGCGAACAAACAACATTTTCACTGTGAAATAATGGCCAATTATTGCACAGAGCCACTTTCTATAAAGTATAAGTGCGGTTTTTTTTTACAAAATGCGTTTTATGAAGAAGTGTTGTGATTAGTGGAAATTGAAATAGCTTACATCAAAGGTTATTAGTGCCAGCAGTTTTTGATAACTACAAACCAGGACATCCCACATTTAAAATCATCTGATTGTTCTGCTTCAAGTAGGGATATAAAGAGATTTAGGATGGTTAATGATATTACTTAGGAATGCAGGACAATTTTTGCATCAAATAAAGGCCTTTCCCACCATGCGTATTTTATTAGGTTTCTGATTAGAATTTGTACTGAAATTCCCTACCCACTAATCGAGTGAGTGACTCCAGAAATCTGACTGGCAGAATGACCATGCAGATTGCAGAGTATACTTCTTAAGGGGTGGACACACTAGGCCAGGGTTCATAGTAGTAAGACACATGTTGAAATAAGGACTTATAAGACCCTTTCTGGAGGCCAAAATAAGACTTTTTTACGCGATTTCTGATAGATCACCGACTATTATAGTACACTAATAATATTTATATACACAATTGCACAGCAGATTTAATTATTCC